CCCTTCCCGTCATGCTAAGAAAATTACATTGAACTTCAATTGCAAGTGCTAAACACAATCAGCGTATATTACGCCAAAGCCATCGCCTCTATACACTCCTGCCAAAATGAGCACACAACCAGGTAGGCTTTCAGTTACTGCTCTTTCCAAACATACCGCTAGGCGTCGTCCTTACACCGTGGCCCGGTGACAGGTCCCACAATGCACTTCACTCAACTTTGGCCTGCCCCATTGCATGACGGGAAACAAAATGGCGGCGCCCATAAAATCGAGGTAACGTAAAACAGGTTCCGCTGTCGCGAACCTGTAACTACACCAAGGAGCTTATTCTGATCCTATGAGGCTAAAGCTCATTGGCTACACAAGCCCTGTGGTGTGCCGTGGATCTAGAGGGCCCAGGAGGCCAACGCCGGGGGGCGTGGTGAGAAGTATTACAGGATATTGCGCAAGTCACAATCGACCAACTCTGCTCCACGTGGGTTTGAAGCAGGCCTTTTTACGGGAATACGGATCGTAGAATTCGGCAAATAAGAGAGTAAAATTGGCCAAGGGAGTCCGTCCGCGGGGAGGTAGTTTCTTTCTAACTGCGCGGCCAGTCAAACCTACCCTACAAGGCGGCCAAACTCCCCTGGCAAATATTCTCCTATATAACGTAGTTAGTCTGGTAGAGACTAGCAAATCTAGGGGGCCCAAGAGGCCAACGCCGGGGGGCGTGGTGAGAAGTATTTCAGGATATTGCGCAAGTCTTAGCCGCTATATGAACTACTCTGCTCCACGTGGGTTTGAGGGGTTGAGCTCCAGTTTACAGCATGTGACAGGTTAGCGGGGGTGGAGGAAGTTTACATCTTGATAACCGGACCAACCCGCCAGCATTTATGTACAGTACATGCCCGTCCCTTCCTGTTGTTCACGCTGATAAAAAAGGCCGCGAAAATATAAGCGTTATGCTGATCAAAAAGGCCAGGAAAATATGAAGAACTTTATTGACACAACTTGGCGAAAGTACAGCAACTTTCGTAAGGTCTATAAATATGAGTATAACTAAAGATACAGACAGACATGTGCGTACAAAAGAATTGACCTACGTACGAATAGATGAATCAACTTATACTACTTTCTTCTAAACATTCTTTGATATATTGTTCAAAAAGGACGGGGGAAACATACGTGTTCTATCTCAAGCAATTTGCATGTTGTTGACATTTAATATTAATAGGGACCCATACTTCGATATTCTAAGATGAAAAATGTTTCACTATAATCTAAAATTCATATTAAGTATTTGAGTATAATCAGTATATAAAAATACATCGTTGTAGAGCGCTATGAGATATGCACTCTATCCTGGCAATAGGCAGTTTATTTATTAGGTACATGTACTGCCGGTTACTTATTAACTGAATCCTTGCAAATATTTGCGATGGAGTTGACCACCTGTGGCCATGAAATGTTAAAAACAACGCTAATAAATTCAATGTTCACCAAAGCCTTCTACGTATAAATTTTCAAAACTGTCTAGAATAACATGATAATAGCATAGCTGTCCTAAAACGCATATTCTGAGAGTCAGTATTTCTGCTGCCATAACGTTATTTGTCACGCTATTAGGCCACCGTAAGTAATTTTTATGGATGACATCAGCGCGCGCAGTAGGTTTCGCCTGATTTTGGAGAAAAAAAAACAAGAAATTTTGTTGCCTTCTGACAGTGGTCGCCATGCTGAAAATGGCAAAGATGCCGGGAGGTGGATGGCAGATAACTTTGAAGAGAGGAGACAAGAAAAGGCTCTGATTTAATGTTCTGTTTCTTACTTATGTTGGCTTTGTATATATGATGTTCCCATTAATTGAATCAAAACCATTTGTACAATGATTGAGTCAAAACCTCTTTTTTTTTTCGCCCGCTCGCATTAGATTTGGAGTCTGCTGAGGATGTCATCCATAAAATTTACCTGCAGCTGCTGTGGCCTAATCCTCCAAGTAGAACAACAAACAATATGATCCTGTTGTTACAGCGCAGACGACACGTGTACACACGTACAGACAATACTTGAAAATGTTGCTGACCGTCGCATAAGCGGCATAATAAAAAGGGAGCCAATGCCTCTTTCATATGAAATAGATATAGGCTCAGAGCTTCAGCTCAATTCAACGGAAACTTAGCGATTAGTTTCCGACAGTGCCAAACATTTGTTTCGTGTAAGGAAGTTAACTGTTGTCAACTTTGCGTTACCATTACGTTTTTGTAATGTCTGGCATGAAACTGTTCGCACGGAACTGGTATAACAGCACCTCATGTTGGTAGCCTGGTATCCAGTCTTACGTGATTAAGTTGGGGTGTTCAGTCAGGTTCTGTCTTCGAGGGCTCTAATATCTTCCCCCGCCCAGTGCAACAGGCCGTCCCGGTAGGAGTCAAGAGACAGTATGCTTGGGGATTTGGTTTTCGTGGAGGGCTAATCAATTTCTCGTGAAATACACACCGGGAAACCTATGTGAAGCGGGTGGGACAGAGCTCTTGCGACCCCGACCACGATCAGACTGGATACCAGGCTACATGTTGGTTGACTGGTAGTTTTATTTCCCAATATGCGACATGGTACCTGAGTAGGTTTGACTTTGACGTATGGTATATACGCAGGATCTCAGCTGGATGTAAATACTAGTATTGGTGTTCTTTCTTGTACATTGATTCGTCTGTACTAGTTCACTTACCCGATGCATACGTTGGTTGTATTCTATTCGCCAGTTGAATCGCAAAGTTCCCAAATAGCGCGGAATGAGATTGTCATAAGATCGCATGCCAGTGTCACCAAAACACAGCGTACATGTAGCTAGCTGACTCATGCCACACCGTGAGAACATCATTGGTGCTTTCTATATAACTTCCTTGTATGACGAAGATGCATACTAGAATACTAATAGCTAGCAATCAAGAAAAACGCCACTCTGTCCTAGTGGTTTCGTAAAAGGCCTGTTAAATACGGAACCACAACCGTGAACGTATACAGTTGCCACTCGAAATATGTTTACCAAACATTGCGATAGATACACACCACCGTGCATGTATGCCTTGTTCGTCAGTACACACGATACCAAATGTGAGACTATATAAAAGTATATTCTCCAATCGGATCATAATTTGGGGTCTAGATCTGCAAAGACAGTATCCATTTGCTAGACAGTTACTTTAATTTAACCACCGTTAGGCTCAGGCCTGGTTAGGCTGGCGTATAAACAAGATACCGGAACAAAAAAAGGGCCCGCTGAAAACACGCCAAAGATAAGTCGAAGCCTAAAACATCTGCTTGGAGAGTTTCGGTACTAGTATAGTAACGTTAGCTGCCTGATGATCTGTGGATATCACGGTATGTCAGACAGTCGATGTTAGCATGTCACTCCAGCATTTAGCACCGTCAGCCCTGGTATGGCCTGACCCTAGCCAGTCCAGCCCCCCTCCCCCTTAAAGTTTCGGTTACCTGGGCTGTGGATATCCACCGTACTGCTGCTGAGGCTGCCCCTGGACTTGTACACCGACCATCCGCGGGTCTGCCATGTCTGTACGGTAGTCCTGGAGTCTGGGATCACCACGCCTTCTTACTCCACTACACGCTAAAATGGTTTCGGAAGGAGGGACGTGGTCGGAATGTAGACCAGAGTGCACGGCAGCGTACCTACTACGGGTTGCTTATACTATAAAGGAAGTACTGACTACGTCACGCCGCCTGGAGAGTTGAAATATGCGGCATTTGACCTCTCTTTCTCCCGGGTTGACAGGCGCGGCGTTACCTTTCAACAGGTGGTTTTAGGTCTCACCGCGTAAAAGAATGTTTAGACCTTAGGACAAGTAGTATAAGTTGATTCATCAATAGTCTTGTACATAGCACGAAAACAGACATTTAAGCAAACTTTCCGCACTATGTAAAGAAGTATTAAAGATTCAGTAGACTTTACGACTTCGTAAAGGCTGCTGAAAGGCAAATTCCGCCTTTCCGTCACCTTTCAGTGCTCTTAAATACGACGTAAACATATTTAATATCTTTACGCTTCCTTTACAAATCCGTAAACATACGTACCGCAGGTCAACTCTATTGTACTCACGTGTCTGTCTGTAGTGTTATAGTCGCTATATTTTCGTTGTGTCAATATAAAGCTCTCTGTGAGTAGGAGACACAGCGGGAGAAGCAAAAAAGTGAAAACAGACGACAGAGGTTTTCGATGTACAGATATGTATGCCATGTAACGTTACATGTAAGACAACAAAGAGTTTGGGATAGCTACTCCCCTACTACAAGAACCTTGACAGGAACCTAGGTAACAGTCCGATAGCCTCTTAGTGTAGAAATTGACCAAATAATAGAGCAGTTGGTCCACGGCGTCTCCAAGCGGCAGACACCAGAATTACAGCACAAGGGCGTTTTGAAAATAATCTCATCGGCAGATGGTAGCTTGGTAAGGCACCTGGTCAGTTTTACCTTAGCAAGGTTATACATTTGACCTCTAGATATGGGTGTAGGATTTCAGCAAGTGTTAAATACCTAGAGAGACAATGGACTCTGAACTGAACCAAGCGCAAACCAGGACCACGAGAGACCATGTCTAGCGATATAGACGTTTAATAACAAGGACAAGAAAAAAAAAAAGGATTTCAAAAATAACTCTTTGCACTTTACAAACTATGGCGTTTCTTCTATTTCACCCAAGTCAGTTGCGAAACAGTTGCCTCTCCAAATGCACGCAACTCAACACTGTTCCGATACACCACAGTTTGTCAACGATTGGTACTAAATTGGTACGAAACAGATAACTTATCTGGATGTGCCCGTGCACGAATGTAGGTCAACCAAGGCCAAGGGTCTGTTTACACACGGAACAGTGATCGTACCATCATGAGGGGGTTGTACAAAGTCGGCTGTGTTTTTGTGAAGGATCCAACCTTGACTTCCATCCTTCAGGTGTTCACCAAGCCTTTATCCACCACCAGTTCCTCTGTGACCGCAGAGGTGCACAAGTTCTGTTTGGAAACCTCCTATTGACGAAGCCACCACGCCTCCTGCTAGCTGGTACGTAAGCAACATGCAAGATGCAACTGTTGCCTGAACTTTGAAATCTTCCCTGTGTTCATGATCGAAGGTTGATCAATGCCAGTAGCATCGGCAGCTCGCTCCGATATCGCAAGGTTTCAAGTATGAGTGAGGGTGTTACGATCATCTGGTTTACAAATACCAAGTCACTATTGATCAAGATGGCGGGTACCGTTACTTGTGTGCTGCACCCGTACGCTTTACCGCTAGGTGGCAGTTTTGAACAAGGACTAGAAACTGAAGGTACATCCAATTTCAAGGCGGCAAAAATTGGATTTGCAGAGTCATTCTTTTCATACAGAAAGATGGATCAATCCTATCCCATAGCATACTGATATCTGTGAGCCAAAAATGCTGTGTTTACGGAATATGATAACTTTTTTTGCTATTGCATAGGTTGTTTCTAGCTTCTAACTTAGTGTTTAGGGGCAGTACCCGAGAAAATAAAGGCAATTTCAAACACTTGAAGTATGTAATGATGACGAAAATGTGCTAAGAAATGACAGCAAATGTCACTATCGGACAGATTTCTTCCTCAGAATATATTTTGATTTGCTGAAACTGCATTGGATATCTTAAAGGGACATTGTGTAACATTTGCACCAAAAATTGAAATATTTTCTTTTATATGCGCATGATTGTAATTTACTTCCACTTTTCAACATATTTGTGCAATTATGTCACATATCGGACATTTATGGTTGGTGCTAAAACAAACCACACAAGGTGCACTCAATTCGTGGTGCCACCAACAAAAATATCAGAATGTAAACATATATGGCTGACACAAACTTTTAAACACACTAGTGAGGTATCATATTCTGGTACCTACACTTCCTGAATGGCAGTTGTTTGCAATGGAGTAGGGTTGATTCAACTTAGGTAGCAATAACGAGAAAATCTACATTTTGTATAGACCTAATGTTACATAATGCAGCTTTAAGAGGAATGGTGTTGCAGGTACACAGATGAACGCCTGCATGACCTGGAGATGAGAACAGTGTTCCGGCGGAACTGGGTAGCCGTGGGCGTGACTAACCAAGTGGCGAGACCTGGACAGTTTTTCACAGGTTTGTTAAAATGATGCCCCTAATAACATTATACATTACTTTCTCACACCTAAAGAACAGACCACATTGGATCCAGGACTACATGGACAGAGCTGTAGCAAGGCTGAACATAAGCAAACTTTTATCTAGGAAGGTGTTCAGCACCAAGGACAGCACACATAGGTATCCAATCTTTGCTGTACAGAAGGTGTACAGCAACAAGGACAGCACACATAGGTATCCAATCTTTGCTGTACAGAAGGTGTACAGCAACAAGGACAGCACACATAGGTATCCAATCTTTGCTGTACAGAAGATGTACAGCAACAAGGACAGCACACATAGGTATCCAATCTTTGCTGTACAGCACCAAGGACAGCACACATAGATATCCAATCTTTGCTGTACAGCACCAAGGACAGCACACATAGATATACAATCTTTACTGTACAGAAGATGTTCAGCACCAAGGACAGCACACATAGATATCCAATCTTTGCTATTCAGAAGGTGTTCAGCACCAAGGACAGCACACATAGATATCCAATCTTTGCTGTACAGAAGGTGTTCAGCACCAAGGACAGCACACATAGGTATCCAATCTTTGCTGTACAGAAGGTGTGACAGAAAGTGTCCAGTCTATATCATATCTATCATTGTTATCGTTTTCAAACATTTGTTCTGAAATTTACGGCGTATGATTTACAGTATGGTTGAAAACCTTTTTTTTGGAAACAGACAAAAAATTCATGTGCGTGCAGATGTCAGCCATGTAAACAAATCAACATGACCTGATCTATCTATACAGAACACTAGTTTACCGTCCCAGGTCCCTAGTTGATATCTTTGAAAATACTTTTTCGATTGAAAATTTTGATCCAGTTTGGAGCCTTTTAGACTAGAAGGAGCAGGTAGGTCTAAGCTTTCTGACTTTGGTCAAGTTTTGTTTATTGGTATTTTTTTTATTGGCAAGTCCTGAGTGATGATCTACCCGGATTGGATGGGTACGTCATGGAAAATTAGATCAAAAGCTAGGGGTTTGTTCACTGTTGTCAGCTGTTGTCAGTGTTTGAGCTGGTCAACCCCCAGTTTTCTTTCTATATTTCTGAGTCGGGCCCTTTTGGCTCTCTGGTGCAGAAGAATTTTTGCGATTGAAATGTGAGAAAGTTCTTTCATGAGGACTTGTTACAGTGTATTCAACCATGATGATTCAACCATATGTTTATATGGCCAAATTTAATACATGTATAAGGCCACACCAATTTAATTTGTTGGTTCCTCGATTTCTTCATAAAAAATATGAAGCAACAGGGTGAAAGAAAAAAGGTCAAAGCATCCTATTATAGCCCCAAATGTCACCATAGGAGCCATGAAGTCAATACAAATGGCTGGGCTAATATTCAAACAACAAATTTTGAAGTTTTAATCAAACCACTGCATTGATAGATGGAAAAACTGTAGGAACTAGGAAGAAAAGGACCTTCCTCAACTGTTGGGGGCAAAATATGAGAATTTTTCAGTTGATGCAGAACCAGAACCTTTTTTTTTTTTTT